TGTATCACATCTTCTTGATCCAGTCATTATTTCTGGGCATTTGGGTTGATTGATTACACATCTTCCCTATTGTAAATATAGCAGCAATAAACATAGGGGTACATGTGTCCTTTTGTATCTGCTTGTTTATTACTTGAGGAAAATATAAATGGCTAACAAAATAATTGAGTACAAAATGTAAACTAGAGTTTTCATCAGGGGCAGTTGCATTAGAGAACTCTTTCAAATCTAATTATGTCTCTAATTTTTGGACTACCTGAGGGCATAGCCCCTAATCAGGGCTCTTTTTGGCATTTCTTATTTCAGGGTCTGGAGAAAGATTGTCAACAATCTTTATGTCATCCTTGCCATTTTCCTTAAATCTGAAATGCTTCCTTACCTTTTTAATTTCATGCCACAGAGAGACAATGATGATCAGTACTTGGGAATGAGAAAGCATATAGAGAGGGAGGAAACTGTTTAAGATTGGGAGGACTAGCCTGGGACTCTAGTGCACCAGAACCCTGCAGGCCACCCTAGGCTGTAACTGCACGCAGGGTATGATGGCTTAGTTATAACTTTATGGTCCAAGCTGTCTGTGTTCCAGGATTTTACAGAGCGTGACCCGTTAGAGAGAAGCAGGGACCAAATTTGCTGCCTGCGCATGACAAAATAAGCACATTGTTTATATAAAATGAGTGTATAGTTAGATGAACAGAACTTAGTATCCAAGGAGGTTAACCATAAATCAGTGGTCACCATCTAGACTCTTGGAATTGGGAGTAAGACAAAGAAAGCGATACCAGTTAGTGGGCAAATTATGTTACTAGATAATAATTCAAGGTGAAAGGCACACAGAAGACTGGCAAGGGAATAACCGGGAAGTGGATTCAAGCTTCCTAGATTGGGATTAGTGGCATCTTTTCATGAGAAGGGAATGACAGTAACGAAATAGAAACACAAGTCTTCCCTTCCAGCCAGGCCCCTGAGTTCAGATACAGCAGCAGACAAGGCATTTAGGAATGAGGACCAAGGCAGATGCCAAGCCAGAGGACCTAGATCCCATAAGGCTGAGTAGGATTCATGAAAAAGGCCTGAGAACAGATACAACTAGAACTGGGTGCTGCTTCAGGGTCAGACTTCTGACTTCAAAATGAGCAAATGGGCTTAGAGAATTATCTCCAACCTCAAATCAGTATCAGTCCTGGGGTTATGGGGAAACTGTACCAACCTGTGGATTGGGGTCCCCCAGCTATCAAAGGAAGGAAGGAGAATTCAGGCTGAGGACTATTCTGGGCCTAACACAAAATGCAGTGATTCAGCACTGGCTACCTGAGACTCTGGACTATCCCCAGTACAAATCCAGGACAGAGCAGAAGACAGGAATGCTGCTCTTCAAAGGCCTACAGAACATTTTTTTTAAGGAAAAAAAAAAAGTTTATTCTTGAACAGTTAACTTATCCATTTATGTTCATATGTTAAAAAGAAAATGGTGATGGCACATGGGTGAATTGTGGTAGAAGTCCATGGGGATAACAACCGGGATTTAAAAAAAAAAATGCACAAAATAAAGAATGATGTAAAAAAAAATATATATATATATATATATTAAAAAAGAAGATAAACATTAGAATTAAATACTCTGAAAAGTCTGCTTAGTATTTTAAATTAAAGTCACTTTTATGTTTTCTTCTATTTATGAAGAAAGGTCACTAGGACCTTTGTTTTGGAAGTATGAAAAAAAAAATCTCTTTAAAATCCTGTCTGCAACTGTCCAGAGCATTTTCCTCTTAAGCATTTACAATCTGTTCCTCAGCTTTGCCACTGATAAGCTTGGAGTTCACATTTTCATTAAATTACTCTATTGAAACATATGAAATTTCCAACATTGAATTGAAAACACTGCAATTTCATATGGGTCACCCCAAGTTTCTGCTGTCTCTTTTTCCTTGTCAAACTACCAGAGAACACAAATCAAATTAAGAAGGGCTGGTGAAATGACAGGCTCGGTCCAAAGAACCCAGGCTCCCACGGGACTCTGTTGCTCCATGCTGCTCTTGCAGTCTGCAGTTTTCACTCCTGTTTATCTTGATCCATAATGAGCTGAAATTTGAATATACTGCTTCCCTGTTTGTCCAAAACTAACATTTTACTTTAATCAAGAGAACTCTCAGTCATAGGTACTGTAGCTTATACCTGCAATTTTTGAAAGAGATTATGTTTTTAGGACTGTTTCTGACCAATAGTTGGCCAAATCAAAAGTAACTTTAAAATGGCTTTTTCAGACCCAGCAAAACCACATCTGTAGATTTTTTTTTCCTGTGCATCTAGATTTGTGCAGAATCATGGGTATGCACATTCACATGAGTGAAGGGTGGCATTTGTAGAAACACATACCAAAATTTGGGATGCCATCACTTTAACGAAAATGTTTCAGTGCAGCAAGTGATTTAAAATTATGAAAATTCAAGACCATAAAAAACTTTGAAAATGGGAGTATTCTTAGCTAGCAAAGCTGCTGAGTAATAGTGTCTTAAGGAAAACTCAGCTGTGCTTGAAACAAGCATTTCCAAATCCCCTCTGGTTAGCCTGTCTCTCGACTTTTATCTGCAGAATGTTCTTTCTAAAAATCTCTCTTAAACTTTATATGCTCTGGCTTAAACAGAAGGGTTCTGTTTTGTTGTTATGAAAATGGTACTTTGTCGTATCTTCATTTCTTGCCAGGGAATGCAGCTTATGCTGACAAGTTTTCCCCTGCCATTAATCCTGGCAAACCAAGTATTGCTATGCCTTGTAAATACCTGCTTCTCTTTGTGCCAAAATTAAATCATAGTTCCCTTCATGTTTATTTTTTGATGGTGTTAAGAATTTTGTACCACTTCTACTCAACTGATGGATACGAATAATTAAGTGATCAGCTTGGAGGCTTCCCAAGAAAGTACCAAACAACTTCAAGAAAGTTGCTCTGTGGGCCTGTTTTCTTATCTGTAAAATAATAAATGTATTAACAGTATCTTTAGGTATTCTGTAATTGATCTTAGAAGTAATATATGTAGAACACTGTGAATTGTAATGGGCTCTGATATACAATCAACATGAGTTGCTTTTTTATTTTTTTTTTGTTCTTTTTAAAAAGATTGCTTTATTTATGTATACAAGAGCTGGTGTGCAGGACAGAGGTACTAGAGGGTGGTGAGAGCATTCACCAGAGATAGAGTGGAAGCAGACAGAGTGGGGAGCAGAATGGGCAAATATATGGAAATACACTGCTGGTGGGAGCAGCAGGTGAGACAGCAGAGGTCTGCTGTGCCACCTGGGTCACTTCCCTGACTGGGGATCACTCGAACTCATGGTGCAGTGACTGTGGATAGCTTCATAGTGTTGCAACTTAAGCCCTACCACCACCAAGAAGGTCCTCTTTTTGTTCTTATTATAAATGGAATTTATTGATAGATGTGTCTTAACTTTTTTACTAAACTTGTATTCTCTAAGTTGTATAACATATAATGCATTTTCAGTTAGTTATTGAATGCATAACGAATAAACCAGTAAATCAATAACAATTTTAAATCACAGAGCATGCATATAAAGTGGCATTCTTGTTTGTGGCAAGGCCACTGATCACTCATGATGCCAATACAAACTCACCCTGACATGTTGGTAGCCTGCTATCAACCTAATTAACCCATCCCAATTCTAGAAGGTCTGTTGCAAGTACAGGTTGATAGTAAAGTCCCCTGAGGTTAAATTAGGACAGACTCTCCCTGGAAAGCCCCATCTACTTTAAAACAGAGAGAAAACTGCACTAGTCCCTGGTTTTATCATGATCTTAAAATAACAAAAGAAAACTCTTTCACATATTCATAAAGAATTTGTTATATATCATTTATCAAGACATTTACAACAAAAGGAAATTAAACTCCTGAAAAAGAACCCAACTGCCTAGTTATTGATTCATTTGGCAGTGCTCCCTTAGATATAAAGGATAACACTGTGATAATGAAAGAAACTTCCATTTAGTTGGGGCAGGGTGTGTGTGTGTGTGTGTGTGTGTGTGTATGTATGTATGTGGTAGTTCTCATGGTCATAACAACCCCATGAATTGGATTCACTGGAAAGAAACTGAAGCTCAGGCATGAAATGTCTTCCCCACAGGGTTGTGTGAGGGTGATTTCTTGACTCTCTTCAACAGTGGCTGCCTCATTCCTAACAGTAAAGGAGGTTTGGGATCTCTTTGGAGATAGTGCTGTGAGCACAGAAATCTGACAGAGGTAACTGATCAGGATGTAGAAACAACCAGATCATATTGTTACTTCCAATAATATGCAGGACTCAGGATTAAGCATGACAGTGGTTTTTCATATTTGAACACAAAACTTCCTAGCAAGTTTCAGGAAGCTTAAGCAGAGCTCTGGATATAGTATCTCTGGATACATGAATGGTCAGAAATGAAAACATAAGTGTTTTCTAATATTGGAAATAATTTTATCAAAGTTATCCATTTGGATGTAGTAGTCAAGCCAGGGGAAAAAAACTGGAGAATTAAAAACTTTGACTTGGCCCTCCCTGGTATCTCAGTGGGTTAAAGCACAGCACTGCAAGCTAGCCACAGATGCTCAGTGTGAGTTCAATTCCTGGCCCCAGAGGTGATCCAAATGGCATCTCTAGCTTTTACCCCAGTTCCATATGCATAAGTAAATACATCTTTAATTTTTTTTTTAATTTGACTCACTCTTACATGATATTTCATTGCTCTTTTGAAAGTACATGTTTCTGTATTCTTAGATTGTTAAGTTTTCAAAGTTGTAAAAATCAGATTTACCTATGAAACTACCTATAATAACCTGCTGATCAGTGTCTAGGGTCTAGGGCCTATGATTTTCTCAAAAGACAATATAAAAAGAAACTTACTTGAGTGTGCACAGTTTTTAAATATTGAATGTAAGTCTGTTCCAGGAACAGTGGATTCTGATTTATAACTATAAACTGACACTCGTGCTCTCGCTTTTTATACAAACCAGTGCTTTCGGCTGTCCATATTCAGACATGAACTTAAAAAAGGAGGCGACGCTCCATGATCGTTTGAGAGAACAAACTCAGGCACACTTGGAATCAGACTCTTCACATTCAAGATCAAAAAGCCTCTGTAGTTTAAACTTCAACGGAAAACATGAAAAGATGAACAATCAGCCCAGGTAAGAAACTCTTCAGAAAGAAACCAATTAAAATAGTACAAGAGCTAAATTTTAGTAGAAATAGTTCCTTGTATTTCTTTAAAATATTTTATTTTATTCCTTGATAGTATGTACCCTGGCTCAGAAAATACACATAAGCATTGATTCTTATTTTAAAATATTTTTTTATTCATGGTCAAAATGTGAATTTAACTTTCCCTAGTAGGTGTGTGGGTATGTCAGCAAATGAAAGCACATCTCATCTAGAAAGCTCCCTAAGGTTGACTGTTATCTTGGAGACGTCTTTGTTCTTTGGAATCATTTCATAGATAGTATCACTTAGAAATATAGTTGGTTATTTGCAGTCAGTCCTGTCAGGATTTCCTCTCTTACCTGCCACTTGCCTTTTCATCCTTAATCCACAAATAACTTAGATTTAATTTCTTTTTACTTTGAATATTTTCCATTTTGACTTATTGATGACACATCATTCTTGTGACCCTAAATGTAAAACAATGCTTTTAAGTATCTGTTTTCAAATTTTATTTACATATGATCATTTTCTAAGGAGCTGGTATTGCAGTCTTACTTGATCTTCTTTAAACATAAAAGAGCAAATAATCTAAACAGTATGTTTTCTGGAAAAGAACTCTGTTATCCTTGCTGGGAATTATAAACACAAGAAAATCTAATAGCATATAAATAATTGGAGACCAGGCAGACCTTGAACCAAGAAAGGCAAGACAAAGAAGAAAGAAGTAGGTGTTTTTCAGACCCCCTCTGCAGGCACCCTTTCATATCCAAGCCTGGGAACAGTACTAGGTCCTTCCTGTGCCAGCTTTAAACCCCCAGAGCCTTGCTCTTTGCATTCAGCATGTATAAAGGGAAGATGTGCACAGCTCTCTGTGGAGCACACTTTCTGCTGGGACAGCATTGCCCATTTATGTGTTCAGGCCCAGCAAGGGTATGCCTGTAATGCCAGGGGGAGAGCTGTTCACTGGGAAAGTTCAGCTCATGGATATACTTCATATGGAATTCACATCCTGGACTGTGGATTTTGTTCTTTTTTTGTTTTCATGCAAATGTTGTACAGCATTTAGATGACATTCCATTTTTGTTAAATAACTTAGTATGATTTTGACCACTCTGCACAAGACTACAGATTAGCGCTCTAGCGCATGATCTATTTCCTATGGATACACATGCCTCTCTATTTTTGTAACTGTAGCTTGCATTTTTATTATTTGTTATACACCCACTCTTCTAGTTGAAACTTCACAGGGTCTAGTTGTTCTTTACTGCTTTTTCACACCCACACTGTTTACAATTTTAACTAGTTGAGAGCTTGAGCATCCTTCCCATTTCATATCTAACGGTATGTTATTTTCTTTCTCCATTCTTCAAAACTGTTTTCCAGGGACCACTGTTTATTGGTGAATTATAGAGACAGTACATCCATTTGCCTTTTTGTTGTTGTTGTTTTAATTTATCTTACTTTGTTCAAATAAAATCTCAGTCAGTCTCTCTTGTAAACATTTTAGGTATTCAAACTCAAAGTCAAAAATCAGAGACTAACATACCTATAACCCGCTTTAAATAAAAAAATGATTACTTTGTCATAATGTCTGAGGTTAGCTAAAGCTTTCTTTTCAGCAAACAAATACATAGCTTCCCCTTTTGAAACCCTATGACAAGTCAGGAATTTACCCATTTCAAAATACTACTATGTGTATTGCCATTGGAAGGGGTGAAATATATCAGATAAGCATAGTAATTACAAAGTAGAGGATGTTAGTTCATAATCCATCAGAAAAATCACATATGATCTCATTCCGTCAAATCCTGTGTCATGTATGCATAGAACTGTGTCAGTAATGGGAGTGGGAGTCATACTGTGCACATCTTGAAATTTTAAGCCTTCTTTTTGCTTTACAAATCTCAACACCAAGATCATCTTTGAACTACAGTCTTTGCCCACTTTTATTTAACCAATAATCATGACAATATTTGGATTAATAATATTGGCAATATTACTCATTTTGATTTTACACCCTCCCCCTCAGCTCCCTTACAGCTTATTCAAAATATGGAAACAAAAATTAAAATATGGAAAACAAAAAAATCAATAAGGATTTAGATAGACTTATTATGAGCTGAAATCTATTTTAATTCTCCTCACAGTATGCTTATAGTAATTTTCGAAAACTATAAACTATTTGTTTCCTCTAACTTAAGTCGTTGCTCTTAAAAATTAAAAGACGTCAGATACAAATGAAGAATATTTAAGTTCCATCTCTTTCACTTGATATGTTGAGGAAAGGTAATTTTTACTTGGCCTATCACAAGGGTAGGTAAAAACATTAAATTAGTGAAAATTAGGCAGTTGCCTGCAACCTGTAGAATGACACTGGTAGCCATAGACACTTGAATGGCCTCCTCTAGAGACACTACAAGAGGAAACCAGTTGGGGTAGTAACAGAGATGTCACTGACTTGATCTTTGCCAGTTTTTAGCAGTCACTCAACTGGAGCTATAAAAAGTTGTTGAGAAAATGGCATCAGAGCAGGTTCCCTGCCTCTTTCCTGGGAGGATAATATAAAATAGTCCAGAGGAACACTGACCTCAGCCCATGCCATTACTTTGGGAAATTAATGTATATACCTCCTGATTATCAGAAACCAATACTAACTGCAACAAAAGCTGGGTGGAAAGAGGAGACTATAGCCAGGAAACCCACACTCCTGTGCTGGAGTGACCATGGGTAAGGGAGAGCTACTTCATGTAGAAATGCATTCCTAACTGTAGGATACTATGTTTGAAGTTGCTAAGTGAGACAGATGAATAGGGTCCTCAGTGAAAAAGACAATTATCAGAAAGTGATTACCCGTTCCCCACTTCCTTGGAACTTGAGCTAATCCTTTGAAGTGGTGCTAAAAGCTCAATCAGCAGACTACAGAGAAGTGAGTCTGAAAACCCAGAGAAGAGAACCATCAGTGTGCCATAGGCAAGAGTTACCCCTACACACCACTTTCACCAGTGACTAGACCCTGTCAGGCTACTCTCTGATGCCAAGATTCAGCTATTGCAGATTAGTTCTCTCTGATATGCAATACCATCTAATGGAAAAGTGGAAGGTCAGCACCCTTAGAACATTTAAAACAACTAGCAACCTAGAAAGCTAAAAGATATGGAAATGGGAATACAGCACATGAGGTCTTGTATCTTCAAGGGATTATATAACCACAGAGAGAAAAAGAATCTCCAGAAATCAACCACAAAGACTTGGAAGATCTTTTCTTCCTATCAGATAAAGAATTCAAAATTGCAATGATAAAGAAATTCAGGTAAATGAAAGCAAACACAGACAACCTAATCAAATATAAACAGGAAAACTCAGAAAACAAATGACTCTCTTCAGAAATAAAATTAATGATTATCATTTGAATCTTTATTAAGAAAATATGGAGGTACAGGAAGTCAAAAAAAAATAATAGAGGAGATAAAAAGAGTAGACCAAATGAAAACTTGAATCAGTGACATCAAAGGTGACAATGCACAAAGGTAAAACAACAAAGAAGTACAAAGAAAGAAGAACACTTTAAGATAAGATTTATCCAATTCCATGAGGAAAGACAATATAAGAATAATGGGTGCCCCAGAGAGGAAGACAAAGAGATGGGAACAGTTAAGTTATTCAAAGAAATAATAGAGGAAAACTTTCTGAACCCAGAGAAGAAACTAAATGTACATGATCACAAATCTAAATGAACACCTAGTGATCTAAATGTAACAGAACTTATACTAAGACATAGTGATGAAATTTCCAGGAGTTCAAGAGAAAGACAGGAAAATGAAGCTGGCTAGGGGGGAAATGCAGATAACCTATAATGGTACTTTTATCAGGCCTACATATATGATTTCTCTGAGTAATTACTACAGGCAAGGAGAGAATGGAATGACATTATCAAAGTACCTAAAGTTATAAACAGCCAATCAAACACACTTTATTACTCTCTATCACATATGAAGGAAAAATAAAGCTCTTCTCAGATAAACAGAAACTAAGGGCATTTGCAAACACTAGACTACTCCTACACAAAATATTGAAAGGATCTCATATCTAAATCAAAGAGAAGAACATCCATCAAAAACATGACTAATTAATAGATAAAATAAGAAACTAAGAGCACAATAGCAGTAGTAGATTAATATCTCATTAATCATTCTAAATATAAATGAACTGAACACACCAGTTAAAAATTGGAGTAACTGGTTAGATCAAAACACAGAATCCAACTTTACACTTTGTTTGCTACCTGAGTTTGAAAGATAGACATACACTGAGAATAAAGAACAATGGTCTTCTTTGATGACACTGGTAAATATACTAGAAATCAGTCACAAGAAGAAAGCATAAAACAAAATGTCAATATATGGAAAATGAAGAACACAGTACTGAATGACTACTGGACTAGTGAAGAAAATAACAAGGAAATTAAAATAACATTTCAATATAAATGATAGTGAGCATACAACCTACCAGAGCATATGGTGCAAGGCAAAAGCAATACTAAGAGCGTAGTGTATATGTAATTTATTACAGGGACACAAGGATGGATAAACCCAAAAATCAATGAACACACTTTATCAACAAAAGGAAACATAAAAATCTTATGATCATAATACTACATTCTGAGAAAGCATTGGGTAAGATTCAACATTTATGATAAAAAAACAAACAAACAAATCCTTAGAAAACTGGAGATGAATGGAAACTACCTCAAACCTAATAAGGACAGATAACCCACAGTTAACATTATTCACAATGGTGAAAAGCTAAACTGAAAGCTTTTACACTAAGATCTGGTATCAGTAAGGATGTCTACCTTCACACTAGTTTTTCAACATAATATTGAAATCCTAATTAAGCAAGAGAAGGAAGAGGAAGATATAAAGGGAATCCAAATTGGGAAAGATTAAACAATACTATCATTTGCAGATAACATGATAGAATGCATAGG